TAAATGTCAGCTTCCTAAAAATCAACAGAGAAGAGCAAACAGTTGGGTCTCTGTGATTTTCCTTGGGATTTGAGAAATCTCCCCTCCCTGGCTTCTGACTGGATGATGTCTATACATTACTATCTATGGTCCTGGGAAGGGTGAGGTTCACCCAGATATGCTGTCTCATTTTTATATTTGCTGGGATCTTGGGAAACTCCTTTTATTGGGTTTATTGAAAACTTGAGGACTGTCTGCACAGAGTGAGGGTCAGTATGCAGAAAGGTCAGCATATGTCAGTCTTGGACTGGCCCTAGGGTTTCAGAAGAAAAATATAGAATTTGGTTTCTAGTTACAGTTCTGCTTGTCTTTTTGGTGTGTGAATTTGAGCTGCTTAGTTCTCTTTGAGCCTTGGGTTCTTCTTCTGTACAAGAGAAGAAAATAATTCCCACCCAATTCTAACCCAATTGTTTATAACAAGATTAATGCAAAGAGTCAAAAGAAACTATTAGGGGTAGAGTTTGTCACTGACAATAATTGGTAATGCTCTTCAACTTTTCACTGGATCCTTACTACTAGCCCATATCTGCATCAACAAGCCTATAGCAAGTCCAGTACCAATGGTCAAAATCGTCTAGGGGTCAGGATTATTTCTACTTTTAAATTATAGGACTTTTGACAAGTTATTTAGTGTTTAAAAGTACGGTTTTCCCATTGGCCAATTAATTATATAAACTAATAATAATAATATAGGTTTTTAACCCTTTATCTGAAATCATTAGAGCTGGACATGTTTTAGAGTTCAGAATGTTTGGACTTTTGAAAAGTAATACTGTACATATAATATATACTATTTAACACCCCTTAATGGGATCTGGGGCAACACCCTGTGAAAACACATTAATATTTCTAAATGCGAGCAGTAAATGATTTTGTATCAGCTGAGGTCCAGTTTTACCAGCAAGTGCGAGCTTGCCACAAAGTTTAAGTTTTCAGAAACTTTGGGATATCAGAGAAGCAAATTGTAGGGAATTGTAGGCAAAGAAACATGGCAGTAAGTACTTAGTGCTTGCCATGTGCCTGGCATTGTTCTAAGTATGCATTTATTTATTTAATTGGCCCAATAAACCAATGAGTTAGGGAAATTATTATTATATTCCTATCTGTATTTTACAGATGAGGAAACTGAGTTTCAGCGAGGTTAAATCATTTTCCCAGAGTCTCAAAACTAGTGAAGAGCAGTTCTAGGATTTCAATCCAGACAGACTTCAGAATCTCTGCTGTAATCACTTTCTCTACCAATCCCACTGGGTTACAGTGGGGCTTCAGATGCCTGTAGGGGTCAAGTAGGTCACTGTGGGAAAGTGAAAGTGACTGGGTGAATGCTGTGAGCATGTGTCGGTCGACAGGGAACAGCCTACTCAGCGCTAGCTGACTATTGCCACGTTGGAATGACATTCTAAGTGTCTGTTTATGCTAGAGAAACCAGAAATCCAGCTTTTTATGTGAAATCTCCTGACTTTTAAATATTGCAACTAATTTAAAAATATTAGAAACATTGTATGGGTCAAATAAAATCTGTCTGCAGTCTGGATGGCCAGTGGCTGCCAGTTTGAAAGCTCTGCAATGAAGAAATGGATGTGAAGTTGCTTTAGAAACTTAAAAATGTGTCCTAGAAATACAAAGTCTCATTTTAGGGTTAAATCTTTTTTCCCTCTTAGCTGTGGTATAGGTTTTTGAAAACTGATGTTCTTGGCCTGATGGAGATGAAAAGTCAGAATTAAATAGAGACTTCAGCGAACCTGAATGCTTCATTCCTTTGGCAGACTGGATAAATGAGAAGCCTAGGTGTACTGGATGGGCTAAGCCTCAGAATTCCTGCCACACCCACAGGCTCCTTCTAAAGAGTTTCCATCCACAGATCCTAGCCCAGCATAGTAGCATTTTCTTATGAATAGGTGGCTATGTTTGGCACCACGTGATCCTGCTTCCCCCAAGCAAGAGCCCATTGAACCAGAAGAAAACATCTGATTCTTAAGCAGTCACTCTAAGCTGGCATGCAGCCTTTGATGGAACCCAGGATGAGAACTTTGCTCAAAAAGTACAGTGGACTAAGTTTGGACCAATGAGAGTCACAGTCTCAGAGAATTTAAATATCAGGCTAGAAAGAATGGGCAGTTTGGCAAGAGGGGTAGAAGCTGAAAGTGGACAAGGAAGACAGCCAATCCCATGAATAAGCAGGGACAGAGGAGATTACTGAGCTGCTCCTATGTGCCAGGCACTTTACACATGTTTTATTTAAAACGTTCAAAGAGCCTATGAGTTAGGTACTGTTGTAGGCAACTGAGTTAGAAATTTTATAGGCAGTCAGATAGGGCTAAGCCCTCAAAGGAGCCAGTGTAGAAGATGAGATATCTTGCAGCTGTGAGAGAGACTGACCCCTCCAGCTGAGGGCCAGACCTCAAGACAAAAGATAAAACAAATGCACCCACACATCTCCCTAAGGATAAACATTAGGGATTGATATTCTAAATGGATCTCTATCACCTTGAGAAAGCCAGGAAGAGTCACTAACTCAAGCTGCAGGAACCTACACTAACTTTTCCCTACAGGAAAAGCCCCTGTTTTGTATTTATGTCCACTTGTTACATGACACATTTCTGCCCTTGATCTCACATTTAATCAATTTTATCTGAGCAATTATACTAGTAATCTTATTGGTTGACCATAGTTTTGTCCCACCTCATGCCCACCTTATGATTTCCCATGTTTTCTACCTTGGACCTGCCTCACCTTGTGGATTTGCTCTATAAAAATGTCTAGAAAAGGGAGGTTCCTTGGCAACCTACTCGGGTCCTCTTCTGTCCCTCTCTTGAACAAAGCTTTCTTTCCCTCAGTGAATATATTCTGCTCTTAAGCTCCATTGTTCCTAAAATTCATTCATCAATTTTAAAGAACATGAACTTGTCCTAGATATCTCACAGGTTGGGACTTTCTTTCCTCTGTACCATTTGGACTACTGAGATTCTCCCTGTTTTACAGATTAAGAAACTGAGGGGAAGTAACTTGAACTGCTGAGGTTTGAGCCCAGGCCTATTTGATGTTACAATGAGCGAATATGATCTCTTAAACCAGTAGTCCTTAAATTCTAGAGAGTTTCAGATTCATTTGGGCTAAGATGTAGATTCCTTGGCCTTACCCAGAACTACTGAGTTTGACTCTTTGAAAGTGAAGGTGCCACCCTCAGATCTGCATTTTAGCAGTCCTCTCAATGGGGCCATGATGTAGGGGTACCCCATCACATTTTTGTTTTGAGAAACACAGTTTTAGAAGGTACAGCAAGTAGTGCATACTGCTTTGCGGTCACCTTCAGAAACAAGGTCAATGTCAACAGACTGTAGTCAAGTTTCAATTTGAACTCTTTAGGAAGTGGAGTTATTTGTGACAAACGAGAGCACCAGTTTGTCCCCTTTTCACATTAAGGAAGTATACACTGATACCAGTAATTTGCGGGAGGAAGGCAGGATTGACATGAATACTCAGCAGTTGTATAGAGGACGTGATCTGTTCTTCAGGACACAGACCTCATAGCTAACATATGTTCACTAAGCATTTTCCATGAGGAGCACAAATTGTAGGTACTTAGTGCACAGGCAACAAAGTGAATGACAGACAATTACCAGATGCTGACAGGCATACTGTAAACCATGGGTCTTAAAATGTAAACCTTGCTAGGCAGATTCTAGAGGTTCTTCTCAGCCCTGGAGAAGGTATGAAAGAATCCCATCCATGCTCTTATTTTCACCATAGGTAGAAATGTGGAACAGGAGAGGATCAAGGCTAGGGACTTACTTCTGGATCATTGCAGAACCTTCACTCTGATAACAATGTTCAGCCGGTTTTGAACTCTTTTGCATTTAGGAAGTCTGCGTGGAAAGACAAATAATAGTCTGAAGGTTGCTTCAAGATCCTCAAATCAGAAAGGATTTCATGGCCCAAATGCTTAATGGCACCAGGCACTTATTACTACAAGGAAGCTGTAGGGTTCAAGAGGTGACACAGGTCAAATGGATTGGCCAAGTCCCACCTCAGGGATGGGGGCTGGAGTCCATACTTGGCAGCTTTGGTTTCTCTCACTGCATTCCTGTGGATACTTTCTTTATCTATGTTGATGTCCTCACTTAGGCTAAGGTCAAACTCCGTTGTTCTCTCTTTAGGCCAGGAAGATCTTCTATCTTACAGGTATCTGATCTTATCTGTATGGATGTTTTAACTCTGAGTGATTCCTTAAGCCAGATCCTTGGACAAGTTTCCATCCTGTAGGAAAATCACAGCAGTCCCCAATGAAAGGAGAAAGTCCAACTATGTAGTCAGTAAGAAAAAGTCTGTTTCATTTAAAGCACTGTCCTTTATTCTGAGACCATTTTCTCTTTCTCTTCATATTTAAAGAAAGCCCTTTCTTTTTATGAAATGATAGTTTGGGATTGTTTTGTTTTGTTTCTCAGTGCCTTTACTCGGAAGCAAAAATTTGGCAACCCAATGTCAGTCCCCCAATATTTGAGTTTGTGAAAGCTACAAGTCTGGGAACCTGGTCTTATTTTCAGAGTTCAGCTGGTACCTCTAGGTACCTTCCATTGCCACTTTTATTCTAAATGCTTATAAATTACCTACTTTATAATCAAAGGTAGAATCTCCCCCAAGGTTTGACATCAAGCTTACACCTCTGGAGTTTACAGTGTACTTGGTCTGCCGTTTCCTTATTTAAGAAAATTGGTACACTGCCATTTGCAGTCCTCTGGTATCCCTCCTGTTCTTTGTGATTTCACAGATCCTTCAGGACGGCACCCACTGCAAGGCAGTTCCGTTTGCTTTTCTTATATTGTTCTTTTCCCTATAGAGTTGGACATGCATATACATGTAGTTTGGGGAATTTGCAGCACATCCAATGAAAGCATAATTCCCAACTAACAGTCAAATCCTTTTCTTTGGAGCTACCCAGAACACACCTACCCTCTCTGCCATATGACAGCCCTTCAGAGACTTGAATACAGTGTGTGACTCTCCTGTGAGTTAAGAGTGCTGGCTGAGTCAGACTGACCTGAGTGACAAGCCCAGCTTCATTCCCTCTCATCTGTGAAAGCCAAGGTAAGTTACTGAATTTTAATTTCTCTCTACTTCATTTTTTTAGTTCATTTATAAAACAGGGCATCCCCCTCATTTCATTTGTTTATTATGAAATGAAATAATAGAATACACATAAAGTATTTGACACATTACTTGGTATAGTAAACTCTCAGTAAACGCTAGTTGCCTCTCCTCTTGCAAAGAACTGGGTAGGTAATTTCAGTGTCAGTGCTGTTGAGGAATAAGAAAGTGGGGAAGGTTTTGTCTCCTCTGAAGGATTGGGGGAGGCAGAGAACCCAAAATAGCGCAGGTATTGCTGGAACTTAGATTGTCTGTTTTCAGTTTTCTGGGCGCCTGTTTGCTAGGGCTGTAGGAGAGGATATTGTTAAGAATCCAGAGAAAAGCTTATTTTCAAAAGCTGGAAAGCTATTTGTTGACATATTGAACAGTCTCTTGCTTATTTTTATTTTCCCAAGCAGCTAGCCATGCAATCCCCCAAACACCTCCTCCCCAACCACAACACCTCCTAGCTGCATTGATCAGCACAGAGTGGGTGGGATGCGAAGGACCTGAGAGATGCTAAGCAGCAGTTTCTGGGCTTTTCTTTCCTTAGAAGGTCTTCCTTCTCTTGTGTTTCTCGAGACTCTGGCTCTAATAAAATAGAAGTCTATGCTCTACATGGAGTGAGCGGGCAAGAGCCCTCTTTCAGTAGCCCACTTAGAGCAGGCTGATGAAAATGGTCATGGAGGACGAGACCTTGGAACCTGGAGTGATCAGTGTCAGGATGGTTTTATGATTGTAGCTTTTTGCACATACTGGATTTTACATGATATAAACTCTGAATGCTATTGCATCTAGGAAAAGTTTGGAGACAAACTCAACTGTGAACAGACAGAGGAATTGGATTTGTGGGCAGGGAGTGGGATAGTCTCAAGACTTTAGTTTTGTCTGTATGGAGGATTTCAAGTTTTTGTTTTATTTTGAGAATAAATTCCTAGATATCTTGTGCAATTACTGAACAAAAATCAGGTAGAAAAAAGAAGAAATAACTTTTGAACACGCAAAACAACACAAACAAAATGAAAGAAAGCACTGAAGATCGTTTTCTGACCTAAGATGCAAATGGCGGAACTGTTAAGTCTATGGCTTGGATGGGGGTAGCTAGGGATCCCTAGGGAGAGCTTTCAGGAGGACAGTGGAAAGAGTTGGAGATAGAGCCATCAAGAACATGCTTTCTAAAATGCGAAAATTAAATTTTATTATGTTTTTCTTTTTATGAAAGTATGATGTGTCCATTATGGACAAATGAGAAAATACTCACAAAGAAAATGAAATAAAAATCTCCTCTAATCCTACCATTCAGGTATGGTCACTGTGAACAAAAAATATTTTATTGCTCCCTTGCAAAATATGCATATTTACTTTATAAAAAACTGAAAATCATGTCCATACTAAGATACAACAAACAATGGCTATGTTAGTGGCTGTTATAATTGTATCAGAATTCATTTCAATCATTAAACAAATTGTATTCTAACATCAGGCATTTAGGTTTCCAATTTGTTTATTATCGTAGATGACTTTGCTGTGTAGCTGTGTGAGATTATGAAAGCTAGTTAATCTTTCTATGCTTCTAGCTTCTCATCTGGAAAATGAAGGTGATGATAGTAACCCCCTTAGAGGCATGTTGTGAGTATCAAATGAGATACTGTAAATAAAGCACTTAGCACAGAGCCTGACATCATAAATATTAGCTTCAATGATTAGGCATATTAATAAGAGTTATAGTGGTTGTTATGAACCCATTAGTAGCATGAATTTTCTGTGAATAATTTCTGTGATCTGGGGGAAAGCAACTGGAATGTTAGTTTTTGTTTCTTTTGTAGTGTTGTGGATTGAACACAGGGCCTTGTGTATGTTGGCCAAGTGCTCACTGTTGACCCATGTTCCTAGCGTTAGGGTGTTTCCTTTTCAGTAGTATATTCTATAGTTGTGTTCTGAAGTCAGACAGAGCTGTGTGCATTTGGTCATTTTAGTTTCCTTTGTTGAGGCTCAGTTCCCTTATTTGTAAACTTGAAATTAAAAAAGATCTAACATGCATGATAAATGTAAGGATCAAATGAGATAATGCTTTTGGAGCCCATAGGGCCCCATTCTTGATATATGCAGAAAGCTTAATGGAGGTTAGCTTGTATTACTACTACTACTATGAGGATGACAATGATGATGATGATGACGATTACTACTGCTATTACTACTACTACTACTACTACTAGTACAGTTCAGCCCTTTGTAACAAGAAAGAAGTCTCCTTGCTTGGTGTGGTGGGGCAGACAGAAGTAAGTAGAATGTATGGTGTTTCTAAGCACCTGTCTAATTACAAAGAGAGAAAGTGATTTTGGAAGCAGAGTAGCCAAGGCACAAATCTAGGCTTTGCCATTTATTAGCTCCATGTCTTTGGTCACATAAATTATTCTAAGTCATCTCTCCATTTGTAAAATGGGAATGATGTCAGTGTCCACCTTCCAGGTGTTGGAATGATATAATGCACATCTGGTGCTTAACCCCCATGGTCCATTATGGTTGGTGGGTAACTATACTTAGTTGTTATTTTTAAAGCGTATAGTGACCTGAATGCCTCCATCCCCAAATCTCACTCTGTGTACATGAGCTACTTGAACTTCACCTGAAGACTTTGCCCTATTTAGAGTTCAGGGACCAATTTTGCCACTAGACTGAATGCTATTTCTACACTGACCTTCTGCCCTGGCTCTAGAAAACCAGCTGTAGCTCCATTTCTAGATGAGTTCTCACTTGGTATGACTGGCATGAGTTTTTCTTTTAGTTTTTGAAATCCACAGAGACACGTTATTGAATTTTAGCCTTTGGGCAGGACATTGGTTGTCACATTTCCTTCTGTGCCTCTGACGATGAGGGCAGATTGGTATTTTTATTACCACTACTGCAGGGCTTTATCAAAGTGTTTACTCCCCAGCCCCCGCTGCTCATGCTCTCTCACTCTGAATGCTTTGTACCTGAGCTTCGTTGAGATTTCAAATCCTGGCATTTTGGATGTCCCCTTACCTCTAATGCCCAGTCTCAGCTTCTTGGTCATACCAATAGCAGTGTCCTGCTCTCAGGGCTCCTTGGGTCTGCTTAGCTGCAGAGGATATATGTCTCATTTCCTGAGTGAGGACACTTTCTTTCTCATCTCTTTAACTCTGTCAATCTTTTCTCTTTGAGGCAGGCAGTGGAGTGAGGCATAGGCTAATGGGACTACTAAGAGCACAGAGAAGAGAGGTGGAGTTGCATAGGCCAAGAGCGAAGTGGAGCTTTGGGAGGACTGTCAAGTTAAAGGTAGCCAGAGACAAATGTCAGAGCCAATACACAGGCAGGAATCTTGGAAAAGAGATCCAGAAAAAACACTAACGAGTCAGCAAGAGGGGCATGGCAGAGGATAGATAAGGGAGATTTCAGAGAACAGCTACTGATACTAGTTCTTGCCTTAATGAACTGGCACAGGGTGTAAGTCAATTAGCCAGACTAAAAGAGCTAAAGGTGCAAAGGATACTCTATCCCTCTTCTCAGTAACTGATGGGGCAAGATCTTTCTGAATTTTCTCTGTGGGAAGTTGTGGCACGCTTAAGGACTTTTCTAAGGATGGAGGTTTATAGTTGCTCATTTGACTCATATTTCCCATTGCACCAAATATTACAGCAATCAAAGTGTCTGTAGGGGGCCAGTATACTTTTACATTTCATTTTTGGGTTGCCCAGGCTGGAGATAGAGGGAAGGGTCTTGGTAATGTGACTGAGTGAAGTAGAAAGATAGATTGTGATAGCATAGTGATGAAGGGTAGGGGGCCATGGAGTTGGATAGCCCTGGGAATCTATGTGACTGCAGAAAAGTTATTACACTTCTCTGGGCCTGAATTTTCACCTTTATCAGATACAGAAAGACGACTACCCAAATCTCTTAGTGTTGCTGAGACCAAATGAGATTATGCAGGGAAAGTGCCTACCAGAGTGCTTGCAAGTCAGTGCACGCTCAAGAAATGGATAATGTTGGTATTTTTGTTGCTAGTTTTCTCATTTTTATGGCACAATAACATGGGATTGATCACTTTTGTGACATTATCCCACAGTAGCCAGTCTTCTATTTTTTGGCATGATCACACCATGGGGACATATCAGTCTTGCGTAATGTCTGCATTCATTTTCAAGTTTTGTATCAAAGGGCAGTTTCTAGGGCTGCTTATTCGGTGGACTAGTGAAGTGAGGCTCTGGGATTGACCACCCCCATGTCACCAGAGAAATTTGAATTTTTTCCATACTATAGATTAGGCTTCTCATGAGCCTTAATTTAGGATGTCAGAGAACTAATTGAATGCAGCCTTAGGGATGCCAAAAGCTAGGCAACCCCAAGTTAGGAAGTAGAATAAAAAATATATGGTCTATGACTGTCACAGTGACTCTATTTTAGTCCCTAATCCTAGCTAATCTGAGCAAGCTGGTGACATGGGAATATCAATACCTGTTGCATAGGGTATTGTAAGACTAAAGTACGATAATGCTTGCAAAGCACGACACATTACAGGCAGTTTAAAGGTGTGCACAGTTACCTGAAGCACAGTGCCATGCAATACTAAGTGAGCAATCAATAGTAGTTATAGTGATAGTTGTTATTAAGAATAATGATGATGATAATAAGCAGAATTTTAGTTTGTGGCATACTGTTCCTTATCATTGATCACATAAATGTCTTGCTTTGCTTAAAAGGACAGTCAGGGCCAGCAGAAGAGTAAAATGGAGACTGAACCACTGGCATAGTACAGTGAGCCCCAGGAATGAAGGATTATCCAGAGGCAAAGAGCTTTCCCACTCCAAGCCCACCAGTACATTGGGTAATTTAAGTGCTGCTGTAGGATAGACTGTAGTTTAGCAGCCCACACTTCTCACAACTGGCCAGTAGGTGGAGGTGCCACCTCATTTGATCTGGACGGGCCCTGGCTCTTAGCTGTTGCTGGCATTTATAAATGGGAGAAGCAGTGCTGAGTAACCGGGTAGGTTGGTTTGAAAAGGACAGAGGAAGAAGGACTATTTGCTCCATCTTCAATTATTCGTTGCTGTACACTTTCTTTAACCTGATAAGCCCATCTTCAACACCCTATACCTGACAACCCACAAAAAGCAGGTCTCCATTTTGAATCATCTGTGTGTTTCTCAATCTTCTTTTTTTTTTTTTTTTTTTTTGTTTTTATCTGGTACCGGGAACCGAACTCACGACCTTGCGCTTGCCAGGCAGGCGCTTTGCCGCTGAGCTAAATCCCCAGCCCCTCTCAATCTTCTTAATATTGCCTTTTGACCTCTAAACTTGTTTCCTGTTTACAGATTTGCTTGCACTTAAGCTTCTGCAAGACCCCTGACGTCATCACATTAGGGACTCCCTCCATCCTGTCTTGTGGTCATGGCAGATATGTCAATACCTTTACATTCACTGCAATTCAACAATATGCTGAGGGAAGAAAATGTGGACCCCCCAAACATGGAGACAACCTTCTCTAGACCAATGACGGAGAGCAGAGCGGATGTCCAAATTCTGCATTCTCATGTACAGTTGTCTGTAGTCTCACCTTCAGCCTCAGACCCTGGAGGAATATCCACACAGATATCCTCAGCCTTTGACACAATGTCCTCACCTCTAACGGGAGTACCAACTGCTGGAGCATCGTCCTCACCACCAATGCCAACCTCAGACTCTAGACCACTGTCTCCACTGCTAATGCCAGGCTTGGATTCTGGAGCATTGTCACCATTGCTAATGCCAACCTCGGATTCTAGGCCACTGTCTCCAGCACTAATGCCTGCCTCAGACACTGAAGCACTGTCCCCATTGTTTTCCATTTCAGACTATGGGTTAATGTCTCCAGGAATGTCAACAATTCCTGATATTGGGGCAATATCCACAGCACTAATGTCCACAGATTCTGCAGAGATGTCATCACTGGAAGTTACAGCTTCATCATCTGGAGAAATGTCTACACCTATAATGAGCACCTCATCCTCTGAAGCAATGCCCACACCATTAATGCTTGCCCAAGATCCTGGACAGATATACACACTCCCAATTCCAGCTGTAAATCCTGAAGTTATATCCACACAGTCAGCAACTCCAGATGCTGAAGAAATGTCCCCACTGCAAATTACAGATGAAGACACTGAAGCAATGTCCAAAGTGTTAATGACTGCCTTAGCCTCTGGAGAGCTAGCTTCACTGCTCATGTCAGGCACAGACTCTGAAGCAATATCTTCACTGATAATGTCAGCCATTGCTTCTGGAGCAACATCAACCCAGTCAGCAGACACCCAAGACTCTGAGGCAATGTCTAACCTACTCATGTCAGGCTCAGACTCTGGAGTCATGTCTTCATTGCTAGCATCAGCTTCAGGCTCTGAAACAATGTTCCCATCACTGCTGTCTATCCCAGATGCTGGAGAAATGTCCACATTACCAAAGCCAGCTCCAGACACTGAGGAAGCATCCCTACTGCTAATGACAGCCCTAACCTCTGCAGAAATGCCCTCCCAACTGATGCAAGCCCCAAGCTCTGGAGGGACATCCCCACAGCTAATACAAAATCTAGACTCTGAAATCATGTCTACTCTGCCAGTGAGAACAACAGACCCTGCAGAGATGTCCACACTGCCAGGGACAACTTCAGATGCAGGAACAGAGTCCACACCAGCCTCCAGAAATATGTCCACAATGCAAAAGATAGTCCCAGCCTCTGGAACAATGTCCACACCACTAATGATAGTCACAAGCTCTGAAGCGATGTTCACTGAGAAAATGTCAACCACAGTTTCTAGAGTGATGTCAACACAGTCTATGACTGAAACTTCTGGAACAATGTCCACAGGTTTTATGAAAGCCACAGCCAGTGGAGCAATGTCCACACCACAAATTAAAGCCTCAGATTCTGGAGTGATGGCCATACAGCCAATCGCAGCCACAAAATCTGAAACAAGGTCTATGCCTCAACCAATAGTCACAGCCTTTGGGTCGGTGTCCACAGAGCAAACCAGAGCCCCTGGCTCTGGGGCAATATCCATATCACAAATGAGAACCACAGCCTTAGGACTGACATCTACACAACAAATGACAGCCACGGCCTCTGAAGCAATGTCCATTCCACTAATGACAGCCAAAGCCTCTGGGTCAACGTCCCCATTGTTAATGAGAGACACAGCTTTGGGAGTGATGTCCGTGCCACAAATGAGAGCTTCGGCTTCTGGAACATTGTCCAAGCCACTAATGATAACCAAGCCTTCTGGAACAGTGTTTATGCAGCAAATGACAACTTCAGCTTCTAGAGAAATGTCTTCAGTGTTAATGAGGGACACAACGACTGGAGCTCTGTCCTTGCCACAAATAACAGATACAGCCTCAGAAGGGATGTCCACACTGCTAATGAGAGCCACAACCTCTGGAGAAATGTCCACATCACAAACAGCTGCCACAGCATCTGGAGATATGTCCATGCCTCTACTGAGAGCCCCAGGCTCTGGAGGAATGTCTACATCACTAATGGCAGCCACAGACTCTGAGAAGATGCCCAATCAGCCAATGAGCACCCAAGATTCTGAAGAGATATCTGCATCACTCACGAGATCCATGAACTCTGGAGGGATACAGATGAGATCCTGTGCCTCTGGTTTGATGCCCACACCACTAATGGGAGCTCCAGACTCTGGAGAGTTGTCCACATTGCTCACAGGAGTCTCATCCTCTGGAGAGAGATCTCTTCCCGTGAGAGTCCTGGCTCCTGCAGAAATATTGACACTTCCAAGAGTCCCATCTTATGAAACAATATCTGTTCCACAAGGGACAGCCACAGACTGTGGAATGATGTCCATGCCACAGATGAAAGCTTCAGTCTCTGGAGCAGTGTCCACACCATTAATGAGATTTACAGCACCTGGAGGGATGTTCTTGTCTCAAGTGACTTCCACAGCTTCTGGAGGGATGTCTTTGCCACTAATGAGAACCCCGGCCTCTAGAGTGAAGTCTACACCACAAATGGTTTCTACAACTTCTGGAGACATGCACATTCTCCCAATGCAAGTACCATCCTCTGGAGTGATACCACTGCCACAAGTCAGAGCACCAGCCTCCGGAGCTATGTTCACACCACTAAGGAGCTCAGCATCTGGAGCTGTGTCTGCAGAGTTAATGAGAGCTCCAGCCTCTGGAAAGATGCCTACTGCACAAACGACAGTCATGGCCTCTGGAGGGATGTCCAACCCATTAATGAGAACCGTGCCCTCTGGAACAATGCCCATGCCTTTGATGTCAGCCATTGCTTCTGGAGAGATGTCTAAGCCACTAATGAAAACCATGGCCTCCGGAGCAATGCCAACACTGCAAACCGATGTCATAAGCTCTAGATCTATGTCCTTGCAACAAAGGATGAACAGAGCTTCTGGAGGAATAGCTAAGTCACCAAGGACAGTATCAGATTCTGGAACAATGTCTACACCACAAATAAGATCCACAACCTCTAGAGGTACATCCATGCCACAAATGGCATTGGGAGTGACACCTACATCACTCATGAGGGCCTCAGCCCCTGGAACAATGACCACACCACAAACAGCCTTTGGAATGATGTCCACTCTGAAAATCAAAGCCACAGACTCTGGTGAGGCATCTACCTCACATATTAACGTCACATCCTCTGGAATGAGGGCAAAACCATGCATGACGGCCAGAACCCCTGAAACAACAAACCCACCACCAAAGGAAGGGTCATCCTTTGGAATGTTGACTCCAGAACTTTGTTACCTCTTAGAGGAGCAGGAAGCAGTTCGAGGTTCACGCTCAATGGAGGAGGAGATTGAGATTGATGAGGAGAAGCAAATGAGGGCGTTTTTGAACGATTCAGAGAAAATGGCATTTCTGGTGTCTCTTCATCTGGGTGCAGCAGAGAGGTGGTCCATCTTGCAGATGGAGGTGGGAAATTCCCTCTCTGATGAAAATAAATCATTCATGAGCAGAGCACAAGGCTTGTACGACTCCTTATCTGAGACAGACATCCTCAGCGCTGCTCTTTGCCATCCCAAGCAGGGCCAGAAGTCAGTCAGGCAGTATGCCACTGACTTCCTGCTGCTGGCCCGGCATTTGTCTTGGTCTGATGCCATTCTACAGGCCAGGTTTCTGGAAGGACTTTCAGAAGCTATTACCACCAAAATGGCTCAGGTCTTCCTGAAGGTGGCTGGTAGCCTAAAAGAACTGATAGACAGATCTCTCTACATAGAGAGCCAGCTGGCAGAGGAAAAAGACTCCTTGAGCAAATCAAGCCAGATTCTGCCAACAGCCTGTAAGCGGACTAATGAAGAGGCCATGGAGAATGAACTGAGCTGTCAGCAGCAGACTGAGGAGGTAATGGTGGGGAAACAGTTTCAAGGTCTTTGAGGTAAAAAATGAGGAGGTAATGATGGGAAATACACTCTGCTCTTTCGAGTAGAATTAAGGAAGCAGCAAGAGAGAGGTATTGCCCCCCAAGACCATACAAACCCATCTGAAGTTTTATCAGTGAGCATGAATATGCAGTTAGTTAGGGCATATTAGCTACTTTCAGGAGTGGTATCCAACCCCAGTTACTGAGGCCTTGGCTGGTATAAAGTAGTAAGTTTTCTGCTTACAAGCAAGCTAGTCTGAACTCAATCCCATCTCTCTATTTATTCCGAGTCCATTGAAATCTAAGGGAGGGGGTGTCTTCTCTTAGAGCAGTGGTGGCCAACATATGGCATGCATGCCAGAACTGGCTGTAATCATTGAAAGCTCTAAAAAGTTTGCCATCGCTATCTTAGAAGTAGGTCCTAGCTATAACCATGGATATTATGGACTCAGGCCACTACGGGATTTGGTTGGCTTCAGTCATGCTTTATATAAGTAAATTAGGTAAGTTCTCTGATCTGCTGACTGAATTTAACCAGGTAGAATGTCCTTTATGATAGGAAGTATGGCACTTACCTCTGGTGTTTTTTCTTAGTACCAACATGCTCCTAAACGCTGTTACTACCTGAAAGAGCATGGAGATCCCCGAACGGATCTTCACACCCACCTTCGACAGAGCACAGACCATCAGAAGCCCTCCACCAACGAGTAATGCTCCCTGGACTCCTATGATATCGGAACTGACTGCTAATTTGAGGACTGGTTCCTGGACCCATACCATTTAACTGCATCATCAACTTCATTGGCCTTACCCTCCAGCCTTCCCATCCAGGCACATCCCACCTTATCTCCCACTTGGCTACCTCTATCTTGTCTGTCATGCACATGCCTGTGTCCTGCTTCAACAATGAGAGGGTAAACTGTATGAGTGTATGGGGTATGAAGTTCTGAATTCCCATCATCATCAAAGCCAATCCTAGTTGTTGGTCCAGGAAGCAGTCTAAGCAGGAGAAATCATTTCCTACCTCAGAAACACTTGCCATGTGTCTTGCCATGCATCATCAGGCAAACTTAAGAAAACCCTGATCTCACTCCACCTGGAAGGAGAGCCTACAAAGAGAGAGATATCCACTCCTATTCCACCTATTAAAACCAGTAGACCTACTCCTATGTGCCCCCCCTCACAGCACCTAAAATGTGTCTCCAGGGCCTTTGCCCTATTTGTAGTCTCCACCTTGAATCATTTGTTTTGACCAATAATAATAACAATAATAGTGATAGTAATAGCTAACACTTATTGCTAATGTATCATGTGACAGGTGCTTGGCTAAAGTCCTGACAAGCACCATTTCATTACACTGTTACAGTGACCTAACTTGTTCCTGTGTTGTTAGCTTCTGATCTCTTGATGGATTGTTTATGGCCCTTGTCTTGTCCTTCAGTGCGGAATCTCTAGCTCTGATCTCTGGGTAATGCCTCAGCTGTTAATTACTCTCACTCCTTTGGCTGTTGTGCTTTGTGGCCATCACTCTTGATAATGGTCTTGGTCTCTAAGCAGGCATAGATAGGTAGAGCATAATATGCTCATTGCTCAATATTTACTTTCAGGTGGTGGAATTATGGGTATTTTTTATTTTCTTTCTACTTCTCTATGCTTTCTAGTTTCTCTAAAATAAGCATGTATTACATTTGTAATCATAAAGATAAATAAAAGTCATTTATGAAAAAAGAATTAATCATGATTATTAGAATTTGATTTATTGAGTCCATTCAACTAATATTTACTATCTAACATGTGTTAGCCACTATTGGGGAGACAAACAGGTAAGATCATTGCTCATATGAAAAGTCCATCCAAATTAAGGGTTTAAACAGACAATCAGCAAAACATACTTTAATCAGGTTGAAACTGGTGTGAAGGAATCATAACAATAGGAAATTTGATACAAATACTGATTTACTTATTCAACAATAGTACATATAATTGGGTCCCTCGAATATCTTATTAAAACAGTAGAAGTGACATAATTGGAAACATTTTGGTTTTTTTTCTTGTTTTTATTATTTTAAAGAGTAAAAGAAGGATAACATAGTAATAGGGGGGCTTACCAAATTACAGACAAAGTGGTAGGAAATTATCAATAGTCGTTTTACATATTGTTATCTACAAGATAGTTTCTCAGGAAAACAAATAGACAAATAATAGTGAGTTACAGACAAAAGTGGTAGGTTATTATTAATGTTGTTGTACTATACTTTGGGACCTTCAAAGTGGTTTCTAAAGAAAATAAATAGAGCAATACATGAGTGACCAATTGAACATTCATTGACTATTCTCAATGGTTGTTGTAGGAAACACATACTAATAAACATACATCCATTTACAAAATAGGATAGGAACAATACAAACATTACAGAATTATGGACAGATTAGCACGAAAATATCAACGGCTGCTGTAATACATAGTGGCATCTTCAAAGTGGTTTCTCAGAAATACAGAGATATGCAAGAAAGATCTAACAAGTTGTTACAGCCTAAGGGTTGTGAAAAATAGCAGATTACCTCCTCATCAGTGACTCCTTTCGCTGAGGTGTGGCGGCTGTAAGGAAGGCGAGGATTGAAAAGAAGGACTGAGAGACTTGCACCTGTGTCTAGCAACAGGATGTTTTCTTTTTCCTCTATAGTCATGATTACCCAGGGCTCCTCCATGGAGATGACAGTCTGGCCAGAGGGTGAAGGCAGAGTATGCCCCAAGCCCCCTCATTCCTGTTGGACCAACTGGTAGGATGGGTCTGAGCTCTGGGGCCTCCACTTCAGAGGGCAGACTGATCTCCAGTGGTCACCTTTGCATTCAGGGCATGGCCCAGGGGGTTTCTTAGCGCAGTTCTTCTTGAGGTGGCTTGGCTTTTAACAGTGGTAGCAGATGAATGTAGTCGTCGAGTTCTTGGGGTCTGGAGAATCAGACTCAGGGTCTGTTTCTCTTAGTGCTGCAGCACAAGCAGCTGGTTTTTCTCGGTCTCTTTGTTTTCTTTCCTTGGCGTCCTCCTCGTCATGGCTATAGAATACTGAAGAGGCAATTCTTACTAACATCTCAAGTGAGCCATCTGGGGCAAGAGCCATTTTTTGTAGCTTTTTCTCTCTAGCCTCTCAGCGCATTGGGATCCCACTACTACTTAGTGTCCTCTTCCCAACTGTCAGCACAGGCAGCAGGAATCTTGGTGCAGATCTCTCCGGAGCTCCACACGCTCCTCCTCCGCAGCCTGTACTGTCAGGAGAAGAATGGCTTCCACTGGGTCTCCCCAGGTATTGTGCAATGTCCTCCTGGTTTCCAGCTTCTGAACGGCTTTAGTGACCCCGGTTAACTAGACCTCTGAGTCTTTGGGTGTAGTCTATATTCTCATGTTCTCTGAGTCCTTGTTCAGCAGCTGCTCCTCCGCTGACTTCAGACCTTTCTGGTTCTCAATGGCAGGGGCAAGAGCGACCCGTTGTGTGGCATGTATTCTCAGAGGTTTCTCCATGTTGGGATGGTTCACACACATCCCCGGGCGGGCCTCCATGGCTGGTGTGTGGCAGGCTAATTGTGTCATTGCTTCTCGGTGCCATGATAGTTCTCCAGTGTGCGGCAGTGGCTGGCCTGAAGGCCGGTCTGCTCCCAGCTGGCAAAATTTTTTTCCCACTCTATGGGTTGTCTCTTCCCTCTGTTGGTGGTTTCTTTTGCTGTGCAAAAGCTTTCAGTATGATGAGATCCCAAATGTTGATTCCTTGTGATACTTCCCGGGAGATCAGTGTTTTGTTTATAAAATCCTTGCCTACTCTTATGCCTTCAAGAGTTCTACCAATTCTAATTTCCTGCAGATTTAGTGTTTCTGTTTAAAAATTTAGGTTTTGATCCATTTTGATTTTAGTTTAGTGCATGGTGAGGTATATGGGCCTAGATTTAATCTTTGCGTGTGGAAAGCCAGGTTTTGCTGCATCATTTATTACAGAAGCTATCTCTTCCATTGATGCTCAGATGTTTTTACTTTCCTGTCACCATGTTGTTTTTATTATGGTAACATTGTTGTATAATTTTAAGTCAGGGATGGTAATGCCTCTGCCTTGACTTTATTGCCTTGAATTACTTTTGCTATTCTAGGTCTCTTCCTGTTCCAAATGAATTTTAGGATTATATTCTGTAATTCTGTGAGGTATGATATTGGTATCTTGATTGGGATTGCATTAAATCTGTACAAGAGTTTTGGAAGTTCACTTTATTGGTTTTTCCTGTGCAAGAATAAGGGATATCTTTCCATTTTCTGATATCCTTTAAAATCTTCTTTTTCAGAATACTGTAGTATTCAATGTAAAGATTTTTTACTTGTTTTGTTAAATTGATTCCTAAGTATTTCATTTTCTTTTGATGCTGTGGTAAAAAGGTTGCATTCCCTAATTTCTCTCAGTGAGTTTGTTGTTTGTGTACAGGAATGCTATTTATTGATTTCTGAGTGTTGACTTTGTCGCCAGCTGTGCTACTGAATTTGGTTATTAAATATGGAATTCTTTTGATGGAGTTTTTGGGGTCTTCTGTGTAGAGTGTTATATCATTGGCAAGTAATCTTTCAAAAAAAACCATCTCTAAGTCATTGATTCTTTGTTTTGTTTTCTTAGTCTCAATTGCTTTATTTTATGCTCTGATTTTTAGAATTTCCTGCCCCATTATGTATTTTGTGTTTAACTTGTTCTTCCTTTTCTAGTAGTTTTAGATTCAACATTACGTTGTTTATCTGAACTCATTCTCTGTTTTTCTGATGTGGGAATTCACTGCCATGAATTTCTCTCACAGGACTGCTTTCACCACATCCTATATGTTCTGGTACATTGTACTGGCATTAACATTTAATGTAGAAATTACTAATTTCTTCTTTAATTGAATCTGTGACCCACTGGTTGGTCAGGAGTGTGGTATTTAGTTTCCATGTGCTTTTGAAGATTTTTTGGGTTCTTTTGTCATTGATTTCCAATTTCATTGCACCATGATCTGAGAATATGCATGGTATAATTTAATTTCCTTTGCATTTACTTAAGCATGTTCTATGCCCAAAGGCTTAGACAATTCACCATTTATACAAAATGTGCTGCATATAGAGCTAAGTTGGACCTGAGGAACCTGGTGAAATTTAAGAAAAAGAAGCCCCCACCCTATGACAGCCTTGCTATATGACAACCTTGCTCTTGACAGCTGACAGTTTTGCTGCTCTGAGCACTGATGTATAAGTACTGAATAAACTGACCCTTGCTTTCCCACAAGTTTCTCGAATATTGTAATTTTTTGGTAATAGCTTTATTGAGATAAAATTCACATACCATATAATTCACCCATTTAAAGTGTATAATTAGATTTTTTCATATATTTATATGTTTGGGCAATGATCACTACAGTTTAACTTTAGAATATTCTCATTACCCAGAAAAAGAAACTCCCTATTCATTAAGTAGTCACTCCCCATTTGTCTCCCCCCCCAGCTCCTGAAGACCATTAATCTACTTTCTGTCTTTATAGGTTTACCTATTTGGGACACTTCCCAGAAATGGAATCATAGTTTATGTGGTTTTTTTTGGTGACTGTCTTCTTTCACCCAGTATAATGTTTTCAATGTCCATCCAAGTTGTAGCATGTATTGGGACTTCATTCCTTTTTCTAGTGGAATAATATTCCATTGTATGGCTGTATTTCTTTTGTTTATACATTATCAGTTAATAGGCATTTTGGTTGTCTCCAAATTTGCTCATTATGAATATTGTAGCTATGAACATTCATGTACAAGTTTTTGGGTGAAAACAGATTTTAATTGTATTAAGTACATTTCTAGGAGTAGAATTGCTGGAGCATGTTGTAAATTACCTTTTGCATAACTGCCTAATTGTTTTCCAAAGCAGCCAGATTATTTTTCTTTCCCACCAGCAATGTGTGAGAGTTTCAAGTTCTCCACACTCTGGCCAACACCTGTTATTCTCTGAGTTTTTGATTCCAGTCATCCTAGTGGGTATGAAGTGGTATCTCATTGTGTTTTTGAAAAACATATTTATTTTTATTAGTACATGTTTGCAATTCATACAGTTACAATCATCTTGGGAGTGGTTACATGTACATAGTATGTCTTGTTCCTTCTTTAAAAATCTCCTTCCCCTCCCTTCCCCCACCAGTTCCCCTACCCCATTTTTCATATTTATTGATATTATTTGTCTTAGCTCATGTTATAGCATATAGTGTTTACATTAATTGTTTCCTATACATGGCATATCTTTACCCTTATTTCCCCTCCCCTTCCTCCTCACTCCTCACCCTTGTTCCCTTGGAAGACTTCCCTACTGCAAGAAATACATACCTTTGTCCTTTTCTATCCATCCTGTATCATTTTCTTTGTACTTTGCCTTGCTCAAATGAGAGATATAATATTGTATTTAAGCTTGTGTGTCTAATTTATTTTACTCAACATTGTATTTTCCAGGTGCATCCATTTTTCTACAAATTCTCAAATTTGTCACTCTTTATAGCTGAGTAGTATTCCATTGCATATACTGTGGTAGGTTAACTAATAGTCAGCTTGGAACACCCATCTGAACTGAGTTCTGGGCATAGAAGAGCCACCTGAGGATTGCTGGGCATAGAAGAGCCACCTGAGGATTGCT